TTCTCGGCATCGAATTCGCATCCCCGCGAAAGGGCGCCACCCGGTTTCTTCTGGCTCTCCGACGGGGCCCCAAGCATGCCCAGATCTGCGTCGCCGCCCCCACTGCGGCCCAGATCGCGCGAATCCGCTCCAGGGCGCGAAGCGCCCCCGCCCGACGGCGACGCCGCCCTCGGCGTTTGGCCCTTGCTCTCGTGAGCAAGTGCCGGTTGCGGAGCCAGTCGCCACTGTCCGCGAAATGCCCGCAGGCGGGTCGTCGCGGCACATGAACGGCCCGAGACCATGAGCTCCGCCGCCGCCGCGCCCGGCACAGAAGAGCGCCCTCGCTTGGCATCGAGCAAACAATTCGGGCGCGACCGCGGGCCAAGTCAAGTTCCAGCCGCGCCGGCGGCAGCCTCCTCGGCCAGGCGCCTCGCGGCGGGCACGGGGGCTTCTTCTGAGCGGGAGCTCTCATTCTCTCCAAACCATTTGGGCGTCTCCGCGGGGGAGGTAACCGATGCACCTGAGTCGGATCGGGTCGAAAGAATCGCCCGCGAGAAGGAAGCACCCCGCCATGCTGAAGACGGCGTCGGAGAGACGCCGGCGAGCTCGGTCGCGCCTTTGGCGCGCTTGTCGGGGTTGGAGCCTGCGCGCCCGCCTGCGCTCGACTGGCTGGCCTTCTCTTGGATGAGCCCGCGGGCTCTGTGGCCGCGGCGGCTGCAAGCTCGGCGCGCCCTTCTTCGTCGCCATCCTGCTCGTCGTCAGCGCCTCCGCGATCGCCCCCTCACCCCCGCGCCAGATGCGATTGAGCTGCTGGAGTCCGCGATCGTCTGGGAAAGTGCCCCAATCGCGGACGACGCCATCATGCTCGGCAGCGTCGCGCGGCACCCGTTGATCCTGTGCCGCTGCCACGCCGCGGCGCCCAGGGCGCGAGACCCTGGCCGGGCGACCCGCTGACCCTGTCCACAGGGCAAAGGGGGCGATGCCCCTGGCACTCGAAACACACGCAGACACGGCGTCTGCCGCGGCGGTCGATGCGACCCCGCCCGGCGCCGCGCACGCGCGCGCGTTCACAAGCACGGCGGCGCCCTGATACCCGAGCGATTTTGCCAGCGTCGACACGCTCGAGGTCCTGCCTGGAGCGCCAGTGGCGCACCGACTCTTCTGCGCACCCACGCCGCATCCAATAATCATAATTCTTTCCTGGACCGCAGCGGCGGGCGCCAGGCCGGCGGACGCGGCGATCCAACCGGGCCGCGCGGGGCGCGGAAGGCCGCGCATGATCCGACGCTGGAACGACCCCATCCAACGTCAGTCATCTCGTCGGCTGCCAAGTCAAAGGGAATCCAATGCGCTGCCCCAGCGCGCCCCCACGAGTCGCGTCGATCATGGGCGCCATAAGCGCGGCTCCACGCACGCCCGCAGTGGCGCCTATCGCGGCCAGCGCCAGCACGGCCCCACGCGGCTGGACATTTCCCCCAAGTGGTCCAGCATCACGTACCTCCTCAGCTATAAAAGGAATCGCTTCTGCCTCTGAGACGCCGACGTCGCGCGCCCGCACCTCGCCCTCGAACTCGCAGGTCGCGGAGTCGACGCCGAGATCTGCCAAAGCACGCGCCGCGGCGTCGCGCGCGAACACGCCGCGGGCGAGGATGGTCGGCGATGGCGCAGCCGCGAGGGCAGAGCGGAGAACGGGGACGTCGACGCACCCGACGTCTTCCGCGCTTTCTTGAACCACCACAGAGGCAGACCTATCCCCGCCCCCTCCGCACACTGGCCATGAAAGTGACCGTCGCCACCGGGCCCGCTGCATAGCACCCCTTTTCCCAGAGCGGCCCACGGGGTTTCGTTTCCAGCATGCCCCCTTGCCAAGAGCACGACGTCGGCCCCGACCCTTCCCCTGGAAGATCCTCCCGCAGTCGGCATCCGCTAAGGGCGCCATTCAAATGGCGAGACCGCGACCATGCAACCGTCGCTTGCGGCGCCCACCCCTGCCACGCCCCTTACCCCAACAGTGAGAGACCTTCCTGACTGCCCTACGGACCCGCCGGATAGGCATTACGATCAAACGTCACCATCGACGCTTCGCATGCTGATAATCCAAAGTGCAGTGTAGGAGGCAGGGTTAGAAGGCTGCCCCTGATTTGAGGCCGTAGCTGCCTCTGGGCTGCGTGGGTTGTCAGCTGTTGATGGGCGCCTCCGCGTCTCCGCAGGCGGTAGTGACGTAGGTGCGCGCGTTTCCGTGCCCTCCGCCTCCCAGCAAAACATTGCCGACGTTGCTGGGCGCGCGCTCGCCTAAGTGGCCGAAGCTGCGCACGCCGTCCAGCACCTCCTCGCAAGGCCACTGCGCACGTGGGATTTGACCGTTTAGCGGCTGAGCAGCTCTGCCGGGGCCACACGGGAAAGCTCCGAAGAGCACTGTGGCGAGTAGCTGAAAGTTCGGGATGGCAAAGCCCACGGAATCGGTTTGGAGGCGGGCAATCTCGAACCGAGCGAAGACTGAATTGGTTCTCTCGCCTTGTTCGGGCATGAGCTCGATGAGCTCCGTTCCTGAAGTAAGTTGGCGTTCATCCTCTAGGATGTCGAACTTGGCACTGAGGAAGAACGTGATGTACGTGGCCGGGTCTGTGTGGACCCCTTGTATAGTCACGTCGTAGTTGATGATCTGCGGCGGGATCCGCATCGAGATCGCGCGGGCTACCCCACCGAGGCCACGCCGCAGGCATACAGCCTGTTGTTGTGGTGTCATGCGGGCGCCTGCGACATTGCGCCACGCATGAGCTTCTCGAATGAATTCGAACAACGATACGTTTGCCGCTGGGTCCCAGTGAGGGCCCATGGCCTCATTCGTTACGGCTACCACGATGCATGTAACCAATAGCACAGCCAACGCATAGCCAGGTGGCACCAGATGTGAAGAACCTTATGTAATATGTCGGGTCGTAGCTGGCGTTGGGAGTTGTATGTGGTATCTGTGTCGCCGTGAGGCGGCGAATCGGCCGTGGAGGCATGTCCCCATGCTGATTTCGGAACATGAGCGAAGGGTTTCCTCGCAAGGGTAGCTGATACCATAGTCTGTGCCCAAGCACATCATAAGTCGGAGTGGTATGGCGTAGACCCGTCGCGTATACGCTGTGGGTGGTTGTCAGGTGGGAATCACGGGTAGGGAAATTAGCGTTCCCGCTAACAACGCCTCCGCCTGCTAGCCAGTAATCACGCTCTGGCACAACGATGAGAGTAGCTGAATACCATGCGGTGCCGTGGAGTACCAGTGCGATAGACAGAATGGTGGTAGAGGATGCAGGCACATCCAAAAACATAACTGTTCAATGCAATAGCGGATCGATAGCTACGCCTACGATCCAGGCATATAGAGCGCTGGTCGCTTGAGCCACAAACGGCGGCGCGGACGTTCGCTACGCTCGCTTTACATACTACCGAGCCCCCTGACCGACTTTCAGAGTGAGGCCCCCAGGCAGCCCAAAAGGGCCCCAAGAAGGCCCCAAAGGCCCCCAAAACGAGTCAAGAGAGCTCCAAGAGGGCCTAAGAGAGGACTGAGGGGGAACACGAAATGACATTTCCAGCCGTTCCCCCAAAGATGGCCCCAAGAGCCCCCCCAGGGAGCCCTCCAGAGGCCCCGAAAACTCCCCCGATGCCCCGAAGAGCCTTCCAAGAGGCCCAAGCTGGGGGTCTGGCTGAATGGCGCAAGCCACTTGAATCCCGATGTCCACCAGGCTGAGCGGCGTGTGGGATGTAACTGGGATCCCAACAAGGCTTTAGTCCTCCACTTTCCCCCCCCCCCAGAGGCCTCCGCCATTCCGCCGCCCCGCTGTGGCCGACGCCTTTTTCTGGCTCCAAGACGGCGCCCAAGACGAGCTGAAATTTCATAACGTTCCCAACACGCTTTGGGGCCTCAGTTTGGCTCCATATTGACCCCTTCGGGGCCCTATTCTTGGCAACCGAAATCGATTCCCTGGGCCCTCAAGAACGCCTCTTGGGCCCAAACTTCGACCAAGAATGCGAAGCTTCCAAAAATGTAGCAACACCAATCGGTTCTTCATGAGTTTAGTCTTGCTGGGAGTCGTACGAACGCCTCGAACAGCTCACTTTCGGGCTCGCCTGGGATATGTTCAACATGTAGGCTCCTGCACCATGTTGGGGCGCGCTCCGAAATCAATGTCAGACGATTATGGGCCAACCTTGGGCCCCAGAACGAGGCCCACAACGGCCTCGAACTGGCCTGTTCTTTTACGCAATGCAATCCAAACGGGTCTATGGCCCAACGCGGAGGTGCTGTCGCATGGGCCGTCCAGGAATTCCCGTGGGCCACCTCGGGCCCTTCTTGGCTCCCTTTTGAATCATTCTCGGGGTCCTCGTCTGACCGCGTGGGTCGTTTTCGGGCAATCTCTGGCTGGTCTCGGGCAGTGTTCTGGCTATTTCTGGCCTGCTGCTATGGATAGGGAGCCAGGGTCAAGAGAGCCAGCTTCCATACCACTGATCCGCTGAATCGACGAATGTAACATCGATCAGCTACACGGCATGCCTGATCCCAATCGGCGATGGATAATATTTCACCATGTTCGGAATATTGTCATTCCGTCTTGGCGCCGTCTGCGTCTCTTCCGGCGAGAACAGGAATGAACGGGCGGTGAACGCAAAGAGTCTTGCATCAATAAGAGCGAACAAAAGCCTCGCACGGCTCCACAGATAAGTACAAGGAAGGAGATGGGGAGGAGACAGAAAGGGTAGTTCAAACGGACGCTCAAGTGTATAGCAACACCCACAGTGAAGACGCATGACAGAAGGATGCGCGGTAAGGATGGAAGGCCTTGGAGGGCCATGTTGGCATTTTCAGACGGGGTTGGCCAGCGAAAGTCGCCAAGGATGGGCCGAAGAGGCAAGTATGCAAAGGTAGTCTTGGAAAGTTGTTAATCCTTGCTATGCGACTTGACTGTAAGCACCCTTATCACTGGATAGATTGGAGCACCCAATGTCGTACGGAGCTGGTCCACTAAGCTCCTGACCCTCGGTCTTCTTCACCCACTTGTTGGCCTGCGCGGGCCCAGCGTTGTGTCTACAGCGACTGGCGCTCTCCGAGCGATCCCCACGAAGGAACTTGTGCGCATGCCTTCGAAGCCTGCCCTGCACGCATGTTAGCTTCATGCGCGTGCAGATGATGGGTCGCTCGCGCACGGTATCTGTCCGGCATCGCGCTTGATGGGCCTGTTTTCCACCACCACCACCACCACCATAATTTGGAGGGGGGAGGGGGTCCTCCTCCCCCTCTTCTTCTTCCTCCTCCTCCTTCTCATCCTCCACCTCCTTACCCCTTCCAAAATTGTGGTGGTGCTGGTGGAAAACAGGCCCATCAGCGACTGCATCGGTCGGCATGCCCGAGCCTCCTTTTCGTTCTTCAGTGCCACACCTTCCAACCAAGACCCTCCTCCTCCTCCTCCTCCTCCTCCTCCTCCTCCTCCTCCTCCTCCTCCTCCTCGATCAGGCCGCCCACAAACACGGGCGCGCGGTGCGGACAAAAAAAACCCTGCCGTCTGTGCTCCCCCAGGCGAGCAGGTTCCGCGGCGCCCGCCCCCACCTCCCAGGTGCCCAGTCGCCCGCACCTCCTACTCCTCCTCCTCCTCCTCCTCCTCCTCCTCCTCCTCCTCCTCCGCCTCCTCTCCTCCTCCTCCTCCTACCCTCCTCCTCCTCCTCCTCCTCCTCCCTCCTCCTCCTCCTCCTCCTCCTCATCATCATCATCCTCCGCATCCTGCTCCTTCTTCTCCACCGCCAGGCGCACACCGGAGCGCAAAAGGATACATCGTGTGCGTATGCGTACTGCGTGCATGTCCTTGTGTGGCCATCGTGTGAACAATATGTGTATATATATATATATATATATATATATATATATATATATACATATTATGTATATGTATATAGATATATATATATATATATATATATATAATATATATATATATATATATATCGTATCGTGTTCCACTGTGGGTGCCCCGTGTGCCCGCCGCTTGTGCATGCTACGAGAATGAGTCCTCCCGCGCATGCCCTTTCGATCGGATGTCTCGTGAGTGGCGTGAATTCGTGTGTATGTGTATGTTTGCGTGTGCGCGTGCGTGCGCGTGCGCGTGCGCGTGCGCTTGCGCGTGCGCGTGCGCGAGTGCGTGTGCGCGTGCGTGCGTGTGCGGCGCCTGTGTGTGCGTGCGTGTGCGCGTGCGTGCGTGTGTGTGTTCGTGTCGTGTACGTTGCGTTGCGTGTGTCGCACGTGTTGGTTATGGGTGCTGTATGTACGTGTGCCCCAGTTGCTCATGCCACGTGTGCAGGTTATTCGTACACCTTGTGCTTGCATGAATCACACGGGGCCTCTGGGCCTAGCTCGACTAATGGTATGTGCTTCCTCTCCTCCAGAACCCTTCTTCCCCTTCGGGGAGGGGCCTACACCTTCCCCTACCCCGTCCTGAGGGGTTGGGCGGGGGGGACGCGATAAGCTAGAGGTTCATAATTCGCTCAGCATGGCTACAAGAAGTGCATCGCCGCACTGTACCTGAACATCGCGGCTTCCCACTCGAATGATGACTTGAACGCTGTCGGGATCGCTCCTTACAACTGGGAATGGGCCATTCCAGCCTCCCCAGACGTCCTTCGTGGTTGTGGGGCAATGGTAGTCAACTAAATCTCCTTCATCGTAGTAATGCTGACCGGTAACAGATGTCTGGGTGCTTAACGCACGATTGGTATTGGCAACTGCTGTGGCCTGTCTGATAGCTTCAATGCAGACCTTGCGCATCATCTGTTCAAGAAGATGATCCGAGGTTTCCGTCGGCTGTTCGTGATCCAGGACAGGAAAGTCAGCGAGCATTGCTGGCTGACGTCCAAACAGAGCGTCGCATGGAGACAACTCGCTGTGAAAGGTGAACGCGCTGGCGGCAAACAAGGCCTCATGCAGCGGTCGTGTGAACACAAGAAGTTCGTCTAACCTGTTGGGTTCAGCCTCCATCACATGAAGTAGATGGCGCAATATGCCATTTCTGGCTTCGAACGTCGTAGCGCGTTGTCCACGCGCACCTACCCTTAGTTCAATGCCTTTCGCCTTGAGGACTGCTTTCGCAGTGTCGTTGTTGAGGGCACCCTCTCCGTCGGAGTAGAGTACATTTGTAGGTCCAAACTGCATCCAGCACTGATGGCATGCATCCAGGATACTGGTCACCGTCTTGTCTGGCATCTCCACACCAGTAGCATATCGAATGCAACGATCGAAGATATGAAATAGATCGTGTTCTTGTTTGTAGAACATCCAGTCACATTCCACTTCTTCATTGAATTTGACAGGCAGCGCAGTAGATGGCATTACCGCATGCCCTGGCTTGTCCCAAGCCCTGCACTCCCGACATGTGTCGCAGACACCCTCGATCCGGTTGAGTCTGACGTTGTCCAGACCTACCTTGGCTAAGATGAATATCATCTTAGGTTCTTTCGCATGGAACCAACGCAAGTGTAGCTTCCGCAGCTCGCGCGTTACCACGTTTGGGTCAAGGCTTCGTAAATTCTGAAGACTGATTTGTACATCGAACCGTGGCCAGTCTGGAAGTCGCGGTCGCGCAGCAGGGCCACCCGCTGGTGGCGGAGGAGGTGCATCTCCACCTTGCTGTCGGCCACGTCTGACTCCAACCTGCGGCAGTCGGAGGTGACGATCCGAACTCCCAGCTCCACTCGAGGCAGGTTGCCCTGCAGCAGATTCAGCAGCATGTCTGCCTACTGTAATATCGTGGCTGCTAGCGCCCGCCGTGGGTCCCGGGTCTTGGTGCTCGTAGCCGCGTAAGTGGCGGCGCGGCTTGCGCCTCCGGTGGTGGTGCTGCTGGTTCAGCAGGCACCGGTGGTACTGGTCCTGCTGATGGTTCGGCAGGAGCCGGCGGTACCTGTCCATGATTGTCAGGCAGCTTCCAAGGTTTGGCAAACTTGCATTTGCCAGGTGTCAGTACATGTCCAGGCTTGTTCTGGCCGTAGTTCTTTTTTCAGCTCGGACATTCCCAGTGGTAGTCTTCCTTCTTGCACCACCTGCCATGCTTGAGATTTCTGTCATTTGAGAGAGATCGCATGTTAACATGATCCGCACATGCAAGACATCCTAGCCCTCCCGAGGGCGGTCTCGCGATCGAACCGTCGGGTTGCCGAGGGAGAGTTGGATCGTCCAAATCATATCCACTCCCGTTGGTACCTAGCACGGTGGAAGAATAAGGGTGACCATGGAGGAGATCACGGTTTACCTGGAAAAGATCGCGCGCGATCTGAACTGCATCAACAAAGAGGGACTGCATCTATAATGTATAATGTGCAGCCATGGACCGTTCTCTGCTACATACCGACGCATGTTGATGATGACCAGCACATCGTCTTCGTTCAAAAGGGTAAATAGAAGGCGGTGGTTGGCCATGATCTCGGTCGGTTTTCGCATCAATCTCCCATGGGACTCGCGTAGGCCAGCAGTACGTTGGTCCATATTCATCTTGCAAGTGCCCTTGCCCTTGGCCAATGTAGTCCATGGTGGTATCAGATCCACCCAAGTACCCACTGGTTGTTCTCGTAAATAAAACCGTCGAAGATCGTTCACGTATAACAACCTTACCACAAAACTTGATATGCGGCAGATCTTCTTTGTGGTGTTCATGCGGGGTATCGCAGTTGACCTGGGAGTTGAAATATGACGGTAGTATTCTCGTTCTACAGTGGGGTTGTAGCATGACAATATAGACAAAACAAACGTCTAGGTAATGCATCACTGCATCCTGGACATCCTTGCTTCCAAGGGCAACAAGGGAGCGTGTGTCTAGGTTTCCCCCTGAGGACAGACCTCGGCTGAATGCTAGCTGCGATATACCTCCACTCCCTCCACATAATTCCAACATGTCAACCATGTTGTGTCGACCATAGCATAAGGTCGGGACTATGGAGAATACGTCTGCGTCGGATTCAGAAGGTAGCCCCGCAGGTAATGTGATGAAATGTTCCACACCGTCGCTGTCCGTGTCGGAGTCAAGGGGTACGTCTGTGTAGCACGCGCTACATCCGAGACCTTTACGGCCACTCCGCAGTCACCGCTGCCCTCTTCGACTATCTTGGGTATCTTGCGTGGCTTGATGCCAGCTTCTTTGTCGGCTTTCTGTTTTTCTTTTTCCTTGATTCGGACATCGGTCGGTAGTGCTGCCCATTATTAAATCGGTTGTTCAACAACAGCTGAACTTAGCGTCGGATGTTCGGGAATAGAGGGGAGCACGCGGCCACGTTCAATCGAAGGGGGAGGGAGACGATCGTCATCGACGAACGCAACTCGCCTTGGGCGTGGACGTGGGTCCTCCTGTCCGAGAGCCGGTCCTGGCTGCTCCCAGTAAAACCGAATACGAATATTGGTTACACAATTCGGCAACGGCACATTGAAATTGTACCCGATAGGCTGGTCCTGGATCTTGATGTCTTGTATAATCTGATTGTCGCCTAGGTTGATAGCAACCCGTCTGGCGACATGGCCCCATCCAGGGCCGCTTCGGAGAGTGAACGTAAGTTCGAACTCCTTTATCCACGCGTGCGTGGATGCTAAGGTGCACAGCATTCGCGCGGTTTCTTGGCGTCTTGTGTAAATCCATTTGATCGATCAATCTCGCGGTCATGATAGCCAATGTTTCTTACGCCATTCTGCCTTCTGAGACCCGTGCCCATACCAGTGCAATTCACGCTCAGTGAGTTATGCAGGTCCCCCTGCTGTTTGGCACGTGCACCCCCACACGTTGGTCGGGATGCGCGTGCATGTAGTTGCCACTTGCAAATATGATCCGCTTGACAACTGACTTTGAACGGTCGCATTTCAAACCGAAATGGCAGCATCGTATACGAAGGACCTGCAAGTCAAGATCTTCAATGGCATCTCGCATGGGACCTTGTCTCCAGAAGTAACCTGGCGGCCCCAAGTACAATAGACACACCTAGAGCCCGAGCCTTAGTCATTAAGTTTTGGATGCGTTGATAATGCGGCCCTGCCAGCTTTC